GAACTGCAGGCTGTGGAAGGTCAATAGTTCAGCAGTTCAAGACCTTTCGAGCAAGGGAACCTTTACCTTTTTATGCAGCCTGTGTTTTCATTTGCTTTTACATGTCTGGTCTTCTCTTTCAAAATCTGGCTTTTAAATGGTTTTATTGTTGTAAATCATCCAGAAGAATAAAAAGGCCAGAATGATTGGGTTGCCAACTCCAGTTTGGGAAATACCTGGAGATTTTAGGGGTGGAGCCTGAGGAGGACAAGGTCTGAGGAGAGGATGGACCTCAGTAGAGTATATAATGCCATAGAGTCCACCTTCCAAACCTGCCATTTTTTCCCAGGGGTGCTGATCTCTCTAGTTCAGTTGTCATCCTGGGAGAACGGCAGGCCCCACCTGGAGGTTGACAACCCTAAGCAGGACTGACATTTTTACAAATTAATGACTTGTAAATTGCAATAACTTCCAGTGAGTCTGCCTGCCTTTTAAGATCCTCTTCCCAAGCCCTACACACTTGCCCCCTACCTGCAGAGATGAGGTCAGTGGCAACCTGAGACAGGGCTTTTTGGTGGTGGCACCTTCCCTTTGGACGGCTCCCTCCCCTCGACATTTGCCAGGCACTTGACTCACTGTCATTTAGGCACCAGACCCAAACTTTTCTTTTTACCCTAGCTTTTAATTGTGTGGTTCCATTAAAAAAATTTTTTTATGGTCTGCTTCTAGCTCGAGCCTTATGAATATGATTTTATGCTGCTCCCTGGTATTTTATGCTGTTTTTATGTCCCAGCTTGTTTTAATGGCTTGTTATTTACATTGTTATATACTTTACATTGTTGTTGTTTATTTTTTCCATATTTTAATTGAGTATATATTACAATTTCATACAGATATTTCTTTCCTAATATATTATACTCCTTTTTGAAACTAACCCCCCCAAAAAAAACCCCATTGAGGTGACATATCGTCTGTTTATATCTTAATCCCAATCTTGTTTATAACCTCTTCTTTTTCTTATTTCCTTATATTACCCGCTTATAATACTACCATGCAACTTCCTCTGTATCATATTCTGTTATATTCTTCTGGTGTCTTCTTCAGTACCTAGAAAAGAAATCTGGACAGAGTTGCCTCCGATACTGGGTGCTGTAGGGGAATTTCATTGTAATTTTTGTAATTTCTTTTTAAAAATTTGTTAGCTGCCTTGAATAGGTCTCTGGAGAGGCAGCAGAGAACTTTTCTAAGGCGCCTGCAGTGCCTTCTCTTTCCAAGCAGGGGCTGCTGGCTCCTGCCCTGCAAGAGGTGAATTTGCCTCTTGCAGGGCAGACGTGCGTGGCTCTCGCTCCCCCCCTCCATCATTGAAAGAAAAGGTTCCCTTTCAGTGTTGGGGGAAAAAGCAGGGGCATGCGCAAGCTGCATCCGGGACGTGATGACGTCACTCTGCGTGATGTCATTGTGTCGGGGATGGCCACACCCCCTCCCGGAATGCCCCCCCAAATCCCCCCCCCCGGCCAGGGACAAGATTGGACCTGGCAACCCTAGAGGCAGCATATAACTTTTCTAAACAGATTAAAATAATAAAGCCGCAGACAATACTGAACGAGGAGGTCCAATGGGTCTGGGTTGCTGTAAGGCAATGCCACTATTCCAGCCCATCCGTCACACTCAGTGTTGTTGCGTCCCTGTGAACGCAAAGCCCAAAAGGGACATCTAGCAGGGCACAGGGCTGGGAAATTCCTGGAAATGGTGGGAGTGGGAGATCAGCAGGATGTAATGCCTTGCCTGGGAAGGTGGGGCATAAATTTGATAGATAGATAAATAAAATGAATAAATGCCATAGAATCCACCCTCCAAAGGGAATGGACATCTGTCGTTTGGAGATCAGTCATAATTCTGGAAGATTCCAGGCCCCACCTGGAGTTTGGCAACAGTGTTCCCTCTAAGCTGAGTTAGTGTGAGCTAGCTCACAATTTTTGAGCCTCCGGCTCACACATTTTTGTCTTAGCTCAGGAAGGATGGCTCCAGAGCAAGCTAATTTATGCACTAGCCCAATTGCTCACTCACAACTTTCAGGCCGGTAGCTCACAGAGTAGAATTTTCGCTCACAAGACTCTACAGCTTAGAGGGAGCATTGGTTGGCAACCCTTTGTACAACACATAATCCATCTTGAGCTTTCAGGAAAGGTGGGTTAGGAATGATTGGCTTTCTGCAATTGACACACGCAGTGCAAGTCATGTATACATATAATATAACTGATGCGTATAATACAGACTTATTGATGCGCCAGTAATGTTGACAGAGGCATACACATTCCGGGAGTGGGGGTTGGAATTGATGCTTGGAAAACAGTGTAAAATGAAGAGGCGCAAGTTAAATTCACGCCAGGGAGAAGCAAAAATAGAAATGGGGATTTTTGAGCTGATTCAGCAAAAGACATAAGAACATGAGAGAAGTCATGTTGGATCAGGCCAATGGCCCATCCAGTCCAGCCCATTGCTTACCACTCTCCGCTGTGAAAACGGCCCATTTATACTCGCTCTCTGTTTCCTGTTAATTAACCAGATTTTTTTAAGCCATGAGAGAACTTGTCCCCTTATGCCATGACTACTAAGTTTACTTAGATGAAAGGAAATTGCTTCCCTCACTTTAATTTTAATGGTTGGCTGTTGGTGTGGTTTTAATTGCGTTGCTGATATAATTTTTATTGCATTTTGACGTTACTGGGCTATGCAGGGAGGAAGTTTGAAGAGGTGAGCTGTAAATTTTAAATAGGCCAGCGCTTTGGGAAGATGCTCAGAGCCGCTTGATATGTTGCACAGGATGCGTGGTAGAAAGTTTAAAGTTCTGGACTGTACCACTGTGGACTGCATGTGAGGGGGTGTCTTTTTAAAAAATACTCGCTCATATAAGTTGTTCATTTCCGTGTAGCAAACTAGCTTATCAGGGAGTGGCCTATACTAAACATTTTTCATTGACATGCTAGTTTACTACAGGCAGGGAAACTTTTTGTACACTTTGGTACATATATTTCAGCCCACTGTGCATAACACTTCGTGCATTTGATGATGTGGATTACGGTGTAGAAGAGCCACAATAAATATGCTTCATTTTAAGAGCCACGAGGCTCTGCTGTTTTCATAACAAACATACCCCTCCAGTACATGCAGAGAGTTTTAAAAAGGTATAGAGGGGACACACATTCATCCCAGACAGGGAAAGGCCTGCGAGGATAGAACGCATAAACTCATAGCCCGCTGCTGGTATCTTAACTGTGGTAAATGTAAAGGTTCCCTTGCTCGAAAGCCAGTCGAGTCTGACTCTAGGGTTGCGGTGCTCATCTCTGTTTCAAAGCCGAAGAGCCAGCGCTGTCCGAAGATGTTTCCGTGGTCATGTGGCCGGCATGACTAAACACCAAGGCGCACGGAACGCTGTTACCTTCCCACCGAAGTGGTACCTATTTATCTACTTGCAGTTTCTTGCTTTCAAACTGCTAGGTTGGCAGGAGCTGGAACTAGAGACGGGAGCTCACTCCATCATGCGGCAACTCGGGTCTTGAACTGCTGAACTACTGACCTTCCACAGCCTGCAGTTCAGCGTCTTGAGCCACCGCAGCTCCTTTTAACTGTGGTAGTTATTCATAAATAACATATGCTCAAAGTACTTCACAGACTAAACCTTGTCACCCTTACAACGACAGCCCTGTCAAGTAGGTCCCTGTTACTATCCTCATATTGAATACACACACAAAGCTGCCTTCTAGTGAATCAGCCTATCGATCCATCAGAGCCAGTACTGTCTACTCATACTGGCAGGGTCTTTCCAGGGTCCCAGGCTGAGGTCTTTCACATCACCTGATCCTCCGGAAATGCCAGGGACTGACCCGGGGACCTTCTGCATGCCAAGCAGAGGCTTCTCCACTGAGCCACAGAACTGCTGAGAGACAGTGGCTTGCTAAAGGTCCCTGGAGGGAGTTTGTGGCAGAGTCCGTCCAACTTGGGGACCATCTGATTCAGAGTTCAGCCATTCCTGAATTTCTGCTTCCTAGCCACTGATGTAGCACAATTGCCAATGCTAGGCAAGTTAAGAGACTGGCCCTCGTGATTTCCGAATGGTTCACAGGTAACCTAGGACTTGGGTTTTTATACCACCGCCCCCCTCCCCCTCAAAGCCCCGTGTAAAATGAGACTCACTGAACCACAGTGAGGTCTTGTGGAACACATTGTCATGTGTCTGACTGCAAGGAGACGGAGGGGAGGGAAGCATTAGCCACTTTGCACAGGTAGAAACCTGATGCAAACAAGATGCTGCTCAAGAGTAAAGTCCCACGGACCGGTCCTTTTCATTGCATCAGCTTTCAGTCTGGGGATGCCAGCCTCCAGGTGGGGCCTGGGGATACCCCAGAATTACACCTCATCGCCAGACTACAGAGATCAGTTCCCTTGGAGAACACAGATGCTTTGGAGGGTAGACTCTATGGCCTTGTACCCCACTGAGTTCCCTGTCCTCCCCAGGCTCCATCCCCAAATCTCCTGGAGTTTCCCCGCCTACATCTGGAAACCCTACCCCCCCATCCCTACCCCCCAGTGGCCAGGGGGGACCAAGCAACCCTAAATCCAATCAGAGCCCACAAGGAGGAAAACCAGCCTTCCACGTTTTCTTTAACGATCTGTTTGCCAATCCCTTGAAGGGTTTTAAAACAGAAGGAAGACCTTATCCAGCAGCCTAATTTGTACAGCAACCAGTGTTCCCTCTAAGCTGAGTTAGTGTGAGCTAGCTCATGGTTTTTTAGCCTCCAGCTCACATTTTTTTTGTCTCCGCTCAGGAAGGAGGGCTCCAGAGCCAACTAATTTATGCAACAGTCAAATTGCTCGCTCACAACTTTTATGCCAGTAGCTCACAAGGTAGAATTTTTGCTCACAAGACTCCACAGCTTAGAGGGAGCATTGACAGCAACCCGTGGTTCGCTATGAGGACAGCCGGGTGGCTCTTTTATTGTGGTGGAAAGAGAGAGACTTACCCTATAATGTAAGCCAGGACCACCAGCTGGATCAGCCGAAAGGTGAGTCCCACCTTTTTATTGCGCACCAGGACCATCCGGGGAGTGTCATATTCAAAGAGGAACGAGGACAGGCTCTCCACAAACTTCTGCCCCATGGAGAGATGCAGGCTAAGGTTCTTCTCCCACAGGTGGAAACCCGCTCTCCGTTCAGCCTCTGTTTGCAGAAGTCCTAACGGTGTTTGCAGTTGCTCATCAGAAGCGTCTTTGCCTCCTTCTCTGGGAGAGGATGGGGTGTATTTCCTCTATTTCTGCTGTTTGGGTGTAGCAGCTCACTTGACATTTCCTTAGATGGTCTGCGGGGTGGGGATGGGAGGTGGGTGTGTGTGGGAAACGAATGTAGCAGCCCCAAACCGCCGCCCAGGAAAAGCTGGACGATAAAAGTTCATGCTTTGCAAGCGTCTGGGGACGATGGCTAAAAGCTACGGTAGGAGAGAGTTAGGTGGGTGACGGACAGCTGCTGGAGGGGAAAGAATTTCCCCAAAACTGAACAGGCCTGCAGAGAAGAAGAAGAAGAGATTGGATTTATACCCTGCCCTTCACTACCCAAAGGTGTCTCAGAGCGGCTTACAAACTCCTTTCCCTTCCCCTCCCCACCACAGACACCCTGTGAGGTAAAAGAAGAAGAAGAGATTGGATTTATACCCTGCCCTTCACTACCCAAAGGTGTCTCAGAGCGGCTTACAAACTCCTTTCCCTTCCCCTCCCCACCACAGACACCCTGTGAGGTAGGTGGGGTTGAGAGAGCTCTTGACAGGAACTGCTCTTTTTCAAGAACAGCTCTTATCAGAACTACGGCTTGCCCAAGGTCATCCAGCCAGGTGCAAGTGGAGGAGTGGGGAATCAAACCCAGTTCTCCCAGATTAGAGTCCGTGCACTTAACCACTACACCAAACTGGCTTGCGGAGGAACAAATGTACCTGATAGCCCAAAGCATACAAAAGTATGAAGTTGCCCTATGCCCAGTCAGGTCACTGGTCCATCAACCCTGGTTGTTTTGACTGGCAGCAGATCTCTGGGGTTGCAGCAGGCAGAGACAGAACTCTCCCAAGACCACCGTACCTGAGATTGTTTTAACTGGAGATGCCGGAGATTGAACCTGGGATCGTCTTCACACAAACGTAGACGTTCTGCCACTGACCATACATGAAAGGCAGCCTCGTACAAATATTTGAAAGTGCTTCTAGAGACTCAGACTATTAGTTTACCTAGCTCAATAGCGTCTACTCTGCCCCAGGGGAAGTGTTTCCCCAACTACCCCTACATGACAAAATCTCAACTCATGTCAGAACTGAACCTATGGTCTTCGTTTGAGTTAAGGCTCAGGAACCTGATTTCCAGTACCAGATCTCAGGCTCTTCCACAAACTACAGTTTCTCACTGAGCATCTATGCTGCAGAACTGCAGAGGAAAATTTGGAAATGCACAGTGGTTGTTGTTGTTGTTCAGTCGCACAGTCGAGTCCGACTCTTCGCGACCCCATGGACTAGATCCCGCCTTGGCCCTCCTGTCTTCCGCTGTCCTCTGAAGTTTGCTCAGTTTCATGTTCGTTGCCTCGATGACACTGTCCAACCATCTCATCCTTTGCCGTCCCCGTCTTCTTTGACCTTCAATCTTTCCCAGCATCAGGGTCTTCTCCAGTGAGTGCTCCCTTCTCATTTGGTGGCCAAAGTATTTGAGCTTCAGTTTCATTATCTGGCCTTCCAGGGAACAGTCAGGGTTGATTTCTTTTAGGATTGACTGATTTGTTATGCACAGTGGTATCTGAGGAGTGTCTTTGGCAGCAGGAGAAGAGAAGGGCACATTTGTTCATGGCTCAAGGTTCTAGAGGAGTCTGGATGACTCACTTTATTTCTGCCAGTCACTTTTTATGTCATCACACAACTTCCGTGTGACTTGAACTTTTGAACTGCTCGGGTGTTCGTTTTGAAGAGCGATCCCCACCCCGCCCCAAAACTCATAAGAAGATAAGAAGAACCCTGCTGAATCAGACCAGGGGTCCATCCAGTCCAGCATCCTGTCTCACACAGGGGCCAGCCAGATCCTCTGGACAGCCAACAACAGGGCATACAGGCTGAGGCCTTCCTCTAATGTTGCGTCCTGGCTCTGTGCCTCTGAACATGGAGGTTCCCCTCAGTCACCAAGGCTAGTAGCCATTGATAGACGTATCCTCCATAAATCTATCTAATCCCTTTTTAAAGCTGTTTTTTCCTGTGGCCATCGCTACATCCTCTGGCAGCGAATTCCACATTTTAATCATTGGCTGTTTAAAGAAGTATTCCTTTTTCCCCATCCTGAATCTACTGCCCATCAGCTTCATTGGATGCCCTTGAGTTCTAGTATTCGGTGTCTAGTTGCACATTAGTAGAAAATCTTGCTACGGAACACCACAGCCAATTCTTGCAGCCTGACAAAGATCCATGCGTTTGCAAAGACAAAACGATGCCCTGCGATCACAATTTATTTTGGAAAGCATACCATTTTAAAGGTTTACATCTAAAACCGGGGCACTTTTTGTAGAAAAAGCCCAGCAGGAACTCATTAGCATAATAGGCCACACCCAACAGCAGAAACTCATTATCATATTAGGCCACACCCCTGACAGCACAGCTCATTAGCACATTAGGCCGCACCCCCATGTTACCAGTGTTGTAAATAGTCAAAAAATTGTTTAATACTCAGACTATTTGATGGATCTTGCTCTATTGGAAAGAAGAGATTTCTTTGCTTTTTAATAATACTTTATTCTAAGGGAAAAGGTACACGGGATTGCTACAAATTAACAAAACACTAAGAGCTACATTTCTAAGCTTCCTATACTGAAGACAAGCACACACGTAATGGAGATTTCCTCCTTCTTCTTGACCCCTAGAAAGGAAATCACCTGGAACAAATGACCAATCTGCATCAAAATAGAAGTTACTTTTCCCGGGCAAATCCCCCATTGGCTTAGTGCCAGGTATCCCTTCCAGGTCAGTCTAAACAATAGCAAACTAGGAATACAAGTTAACCCTATAATGACTGAATCAGACCTTGTAAACACATACATTTCCAACACCCCTTCTCAAGGTCTGACATGTAAGTCATACATACAAAAACATTATTAATTATTCAATTCAACATTTGTACCAATCATATTCAACATTTTACGTAGACGTTCAAATTTCTCTTTGGTCAGTGGCTTAGTCAGAATGTCAGCCACCATTTCTTCTGTACGACAATGCTCAATATCTATCAGCTTCTTCTGGTACAAATCCTTCACTAAAGCACACTTAATACCAATTGATCTACTTCTAGCTGTGGTGCTTTCTTCCTTACATATGGTAATACAAGCCTGATTATCTTCAAACATAAGTACAGGTACAGGTTCTCTTATTCCAAAGTCCTTTAACATATGAAAAATCCATTCAAGTCTACTACAGGCACTTGCTGCTGAAACACACTCCGCTTCCGCTGTAGACTGCGCCACAACAGTTTGTTTTCTACTAGTCCAGTCTATTAGTCCATCTCCGTAGAAAAATAGATATCCACTTGTAGACTTGTAGTTGTCCGATTCTTCTCCCCAGTTGGCGTCCATGTATACGACTAGTCTGGGCCCTTCAGACGGTGCAATTTTCAGTTGTAAGTCCATTGTTCCTTTCAGGTACCGCGCCAGTTTCTTTATTGCACTCCAATCATGATGATTAGGCGAACTCACTTTTCTGCATAAGATGCCAACTGC